CCTAACCTGACCAAGGGAGGGGAGTTCCCCAACATTGGGTCCCAGCCCTCGCCTCCTATACCCCCCATGACAACAACAGGCATGAGGGGGGGGGGGGGGGCGATGACGATGATAATGATGATGTGGATGATGACAATGATTAGATTGATGATGACTGATGATAATGACATGATAATGATGATGTGACAGTGATGATGATGATAATAATGATAGATAACAAATGATGATGATGATGGTGGATAACAAATGATGATGGTGATGAAAAGGAAAATTAAACATTGCATTTTAAACAATACTTTATGGAAAATAATTTAAAAATACATACATGTAATCCACATAAAAGAATATAGCTATCTGAAAATGAAAGATCTATTAGTAAATTTTATTATTATGCTTAGCTAAACGTAACAACTGTGTCTCCCCAATACGAACTAATATGAAGGTACCAGTATCTCTCTACAAACATTTCCCTACATAGTTAATTACACGAAATATATACTTCTGTAACTTCTCATCTTCCTACAGGTTGACAAAGAATACAGTACATCACACTAACAATCTCTCACAGAACAAGGTCGTTATACCAAGATATCGTAAAACGTTTTTAACAATGTAAGGCTATGCATATCTGAAACTCAAAATCCATGAGATTCAAAAGATTTCTCGTTTTGTGGGAGGGTAGGGTTGGCGGGATAACAGGTAAACAAATGCAGACAACTCTAACAGTAAACATGTTTCGAGGAACTTTGCAGGTATTAAAGTTTCAATAAAATGTTTGATATTTGTTTTTTCCTCTACCATGATGAAACAAATAATGAAGTCAACATCTACTGCCGTATCTCTTGGTGAGTACATATTCATCACACTATCACACTGGAATATTACAACAACGATGGATACCTCGGTAAACCTGGTCAACATACTGATGTGTCTTTGGCCCAAATGCTAGAATGCAACCTAAGATTCAAGAAAGGTTTCAAGCAGTTCCATATAATTCTGTATGCACAGTCCTTTTGCTGACTATGTTAATTCAAATGAATTGGCCTGCACTGAGCTTACTCAGTACGGGTCAAGATACAAATATGTACAAGTGTACATGCTATTGTCTTATGCACAAAAAGCGAGGTAATCCTTGCTCATGCAAAATCATACAATTTCTTTTAAATCCTTTAAATCTGTCATCTGTCTGTACAGACAAAATCCATTGTTTAATAATATTAGCATCATTGTTAATATACACACAATCGACTTCCTACCGCATGTGCCGCAAACATAAAAATAGTGATACAAATATATTCTATTGCATAGAAAAATTGCAAAGATAAATGTCCTCTAAAAAATATTCTTTCTATATCCAGGGGGGGGAGGAGGGCAAAATGTGAACTATAAAAAATAACATGGTAATGATAAATAAAAAAATAAGTATCCACCTCTCACACAGAAAATGTCCCAATATTCAATTATTTTACATATTTTCAACATTACCTAGCTATACAGTTAACCAAGAGATTTGAAAGTAGACCTCAAAAATGTTATTGAAGAAAATGCACTAATTAAAAGCCAGGAAGCTTTAAATAATTCAAGGAAAGTGTCACTAAATTTTATTTTATTTTTTCTACTATTTTCTTAAAATAAAACATGTTCAGGGTTTAATACTGGACCGGTGGAAGGGTCAGGGGATGCAATACTTGCACTAGCAACCAACACAACACCACTGACACTCAGTTAATAACATCAGCCAAAAGTAACTTGTGCACACTGATGTATTTACTTGATGTGTGGAAATGTATTCCCATGGCTCTGCGTGTGTATACTATATATGTTTGCATTTGTGTGTGTGTGTGTGTGTGTGTGTGTGTGTGTGTGTGTGTGTGTGTGTGTGTGTATGTGTGTGTGTGTGTGTGTGTGTGTGTGTGTGTGTGTGTGTGTGTGTGTGTGTGTGTGTGTGTGTGTGTGTGTGTGTGTGTGTGTGTGTGTGTGTGTGTGTGTGTGTGTGTGTGTGTGTGTGTGTTTTTGCACAAGAACAAATACATAATAAACAACTCCTCAGAGAACAAGTTTGCTTTTGTATTGAGTAAAGCCACTGTCCTATACTCATAAAGCTAAAAGGAATTTTCTGTTTAAGTAAAAATCCACTGATCACTAACTGAGAAACAGCTAGGCATACTGAAATGTCTTATTTCATCTATATTCAACACAAGTTACCCTCTAGGACTTCTGCAACCCAAACTTCTTGGAAAATCTTAAGTCATACTCTATCACTGGACCACAATGCTTGTTGTACTGAAGACTGCAAGGGTGTGGTATAATCACGACAAACTTCACTTCAATTATTCAACGAGGTTATTCATTAAGTACATGACAGCACAACAATACTGTTTTTTATATCATCTCGTAAAAACATCTAATAACTTTTTGTAAAAGCACATCGTTAGAATAATATGACGAACAAAATGATGTTTCTTTTAGAGATTTTTACACAGTATCAACATTTATACATTACCTTATTAAGACACAATAAACTTTCTATCAGGAAAACTGGGTTGAGCTACGGGTTCCACAACTTTTTAATTTGTCCACGGCCTTTATCTGATTACATCCATAATGACATACACATCAAGATTAGAACATGCACATACATAACAGCTTGTAGCTATAACTGTGATCATATACATATAAAGACAAAAAAAAAGAAACAAAGAAATATTCATAAATATAGGTAGAAAGTGACTTAATTAATTTTGAGTCATATAATTTGGAAATGATGTATCATTTCAAAAATGAACTTGCATATTACTAATCACTTTCCCTCAAAGGATTTCACGTCAATTAGTGTTTCTTCACCTCAGTTCCTTTTCCTTTTCCTTTCTCTTCTGATTCTAACTCTGACCTTGCTCCTTTCCCAATTTATTTCAAACTTAGATTCCATTCTCAAATTCACCTATTTGACTACCAATCCTAACCTATCCTAACCCAGCCACATTGTTTTTGTTACCAATTCTTTCATGTGTAATGGAATACTGAATACTATGAAAGAAAACAGGAAAAATCATGGACCCACTATTTTGATTTGAAAAGGGTACACTTTATTTCCCTATTACAAAAAACAAGTCTTAGCTGGACTAAACTATTGTACCACAACCTACAAGAAACATATTTCTACATTTCTAAATGTCTATGCTACTCATCACATTTAACTTCAGTACAAAATATTTTCTACATAAAAAATTAGCATCTCTATCCTGCAACAAAATACACACATCCTCATAAGCATCCATCACTACTGATTGTCAAGTGAACATCCAGAAACACCCTCACAAGATATTGTTGCACACTATGCACTACCATACAAAAGCAAGAACTCTTTTGTGAAACCAATGCAAATCTCATCTCAAAGACAACTCAGAAAAAGTAAACACTCATTATGAGCTCTAACGAGTGACCTTGTGATTTTAGTTATCTGTTGTCTCAACTAGTGAAAATAAGCCTATGATTAATGAAGCTGTAGCCATTATACTTTTTTAAGCCTCCATTCTCTTATAACTTTAGGATGATTGGAGATGATCTTTGACATAATGCAGGGAGAAATTTGCTCCAGGTATTTAAGGCCAAATTGTGAAACATTTGCCCTTATTGACCTCAAAACAAAATATAAAATGTTGATGAAATATGCATGACACCTTGGCATGAATATGAATAACCAATATGTTAGAATCCAGCACATTAATGTACAAAAGCCAGCAATCCGTAAGTCTGTAATAATTCACAATATGTAAATCATAAAGTCAAAATGCTCTGTTATTTCTTACCTCAGGCAACCTTTAAAAAGCTGCCAGCACGAGCTGCCCGAAAATAAATATTCACAAGTCAAATAGGAAGTAACTGCAGATACACTCAAATTATAATGGCAACATCTCTACATTCTATTTTTTTTTTCTTTTACACAGTGCAAGTGACTGTATATATCAATGATTATTGAATCATTGAAACAAAAAATATATATGTCATATACAGTAAGTATATTATAAATATACTTAGATTGTCCTGCAAAGAGTTACTAAAAAGAAGTTCCCTTGCTACAACATTCTCCATACAAAAATTATCAAAGTATAAAAATCTCTCTCGCGCTTTTTTTTCTGATCAACAGAATCTACCACATATCATAATTCTATTGCATTTATAATTCTAGTGCGTTACCGTTAAACTGCATCTTGTTATTTTGCATCTGAATTCGCAAACCCACTTCTGCAAATAATAGTCCTCATAATAAGGGCTGTTTATAAACACAACTGTTTCTTCAGCATATGTTATTTAATGTTTTCTAATGGTGCTGACTGACGCGACAGCACCATTAGTTTCAAACACTCAGTTACTGCAAGGAGTAACATAATGCCCAATGCCAAAAGAAAAGAAAAAGAAAAGGGACTGAAGATCTACCTAGGCTCGGTAAAGAGATTTTCCCTGCACTTATAAAGAACAAATATTATTACCAAATTTGTGACATTCTAGCTGCCTATAAAGCTGACCTTCCAGAATACCTGCCTTCCCTTCCTCCTAGCAACTCTGCACACCCAGCTTACTGAAGAAAGTTCACGGTGCTACCAGAAATAAGTGCAGTCGCTAAGCACCTAATAGAGATAATCAGCAAGGTTAAACTTAGGCAAGCATCTTTGCATTAATGAATTTGGAAATTATGCATCACATGCAAATAATGCCATATATGGTTTATGCTTAAGCACAGTTTAGATGCTTATCAATATATGTTAAACTTAACACAAAGATACATGACAAAAAAAACAAAAACAAAAAAAAAATCCCAATCAAAATCCAATTGATAAATCATTAAAAAGCTATTTTTTAATGGAAGATAGATTTCCTATTGCATTATACCTAGAAAATGGGCATCATATATATGTATAGTTCCACATAAATAGAAAACTGTTTCACATTTTCCTAACTATCAAAAGGGCAATGCTAAAACAGCCTAACATAACACTGGTTTTATACAATAAGAGGCAACTAACCCTGCAATATATACTCACAGTCACCAGCACCGTAATCTGCACTCTTCTCCCAACAACATATATACAGAGAGAACGAAATTACGTTGGTTTGAATTCACCAAGAATCACATTGCAACCAACAGTCATGGAAGAATTATTTTACACGTTACACCGGAAAAGAGAGTAAGAAAAACAAAAAAGGGAAAGAGGATAGGCTTGGGAAGAAAAAGAAATCACTATCGTTCCTTTCAATCATCTTCCTCTTGCCATGCTGTGAATGCTACATAGCACTTCACCTCATCCTTCCTTGTTTGTGCCATAGTCTTCGTATTCATAATCATCGTCATAATCCTCGCCGTTGTCCCCCGTATCATCCTCTTCATCTTCATCTCCTTCCTCATCTTCTTCGTCGAGGAGAAAGTCTGAGAGGAAATCTCTAAGCTCCTGTGCTGCCTGAAGTCGTCCTCCAGGAGCGGCCTCCTCTACACACTCTGCAAGAAGCTCCTCCACTGTTGCTCTGTCTGCAGCAGGGATGTTGTGCAGTAAACCTGACAGATAAAGCAATGAATCAGAACACAGATTTACTGAATGCTTCTCCAAATATTTATTTCACTGGAATGAATAAAAATCTTGTTATTATTTTTGGGCATATATATATTTCTTTTATATCTGAATTTTCATTACTATCATCACTTTCAATACCCCTTGTCAATCTTGGCTGTTGATGGTTCCCAGAAGTAGAGCTGAAGTAATCCACATATTTGTGTTGCTTCATGTCACTGAGGATCATTGCACACACAGCAGCATACATGAGGTGTCCCACATCCTCTACACGCGAACACATCTCGTCTGTGTCATGTCCTTCTCTGTATATTTCACTTGTAAACTTCTGGAAACAGTCCTTGTTGCACACCTCGTGATTCTGGGTTTCTCGTGTATCTTCGTAATCATCTACAGCAATAAAGATAAAATGCAATATGATCAATCCTCACTTACCAAATGAGCGATGGATGAATTCCAATGAGCTGTTTAAAACTTAATAGACCCACTCAGGAGTCCTTATTGTGAGTCAAATTAAAGCAAATAAACAATACACTCTCACATACCTCTAAAGAGAGATTTGTCAATTATTGCCATGTTAGCCAGATCTATGAGCACCACTTCTCCCTCCTTGTTCACTGCAAGCTTCTCTATCGACCACGAGGCATAAAACAGGTACCATTCAGGATGATCCTCCTGTATAAACATAAGAGCTTTGATATTACACTTTCCTGGTCCTGGTCTTTATATGAGGTCATTCATTAAGTAAAAAACACATAATGTATAGCAAAGATTAAGCACAACACATGACTTTGTGCAAGTATAACAAGACATTCCAACTACCATGAAATCATCAATCATAGTAAGGATTTGAGCTGCCAGAGACGCCCGGACATTGAAGGGCTCATCCAGCATGGAGCTCAGTGGAGTCATCTCCTCCTCCAGTACAGCCAACCGTCCACACACACCAACAAGACGGGGAAATCCTACATTCAAATTGGCTTTCGTCAGCAGCTGCAAAACAAGAATGGGCCTTAACGAATTTGAGTTCTTCCTACAACTCCTTCTCCCTATACCAGACTTTACCTTTTATAAACAGTTCGACAGAAACTGTGTAGTAGCAATACCTATTAGCTTCCAGAAATCCGAACAGCAGTTTAATACAATACATTTGGTAGCTCTTCTAACCATCTAGCAACATTAATGCATTACAATTTCAAAAAAAAAAAAAAAAAAAAAAATGTTCATAATAAAAATGAGGCCTGAATGCACTCAAGCATGCACAATAAAAAGCAACTTTGTCCCTACCTTCAAAACAACAAGTTCAGGAGCAATGGCCAATGTTGTATACAGATTCAAGCGCTCCTCCTGAGTTAATTCATGGTCATCATTTTCATCAAAAGTCCTTTCAACTACAGTTAAAAGCTTTCTACTTGGACACATTAACAACCTGAAACAGAGAATAACAGATTGTATGATTGAGGGGGGGAGGGGGGGGGAGAGAGAGAGAGAGAGAGGAGAGAGAGAGAGAGAGAGAGAGAGAGAGAGAGAGAGAGAGAGAGAGAGAGAGAGAGAGAGAGAGAGAGAGAGAGAGAGAGGGAGAGGGAGAGGGAGAGGGAGAGGGGGAGAGAGAGAGAGAGAGAGAGAGAGAGAGAGAGAGAGAGAGAGAGAGAGAGAGAGAGAGAGAGAGAGAGAGAGAGAGAGAGAGAGAGAGAGAGAGCACAATACATATTCTGAAAATACAATTTCCTCATCTCAAAAACCTGTGTACATACGGGTAATTCCTCCTGGTGATCCCAATATGGTGCAGTAGCTTGTAGAGTGAGCGAGATGTCAGTTCATGGGGTCTTCCCAGGTATGACTTATAGGCTGCAGCACGAATTGTGCAACCCATTCCCAAACTAGCATTGTTGCAAACCAAGTCATCCAATTTTGAGAATCGATCAGATGATGGCAC